TAAAACATCCACAATTTATAATTTTATAGTCAAAGGGTGCCCAGTTTGGACACTTTGGACATGACTGTGAGCCCACAGGAAAATGTTCTGGCAATAACAAAAAAGATTTATTTAGCATGTACATACAAGAATGATGTGGTCTAGGATACTGAGTAGCTCATAACTTATGCAAAGTACAATTAATAGCAGTCTTATACCTTAATTAAGTTTAAATACAATTGTTTAAATTCAGTAAATAGTATGTCTCAGACACCAATATTTGAACTTTTCCAGTCATATATATTGTAGTAATCATTCTCAGGGACTCATTAGATGACGTTTGGGTCTAATAAAATGACATTTTACAGGGCCTAATTAGACGATACTCACTTGAACTCAAGTACACTTAGGCTATATTATGAAATTGCATATTTCCCCATCAATTAATTAACTTAATTAATTACTTAAATTCTCTTATATGAAACCAGTTTGAAATTACAGGTTAGAGCACATTAGCCAGGATGGAATAGTTCCCAGTAAAGGGGGCCGTGTAAACTGGAAATCGCCGAAGTAATGCAACAATAGTGTTGAGGACACACTTCTTTGACAGCCCCCATGCCACATCATCCCAGGGGGCCATTTTTGCCAATTATCATGTTCTATTTCTGCCTACAATTTAAATGATGGATTCAATTATTGTCCATTAAAGTAAAAGATGGCCACTGTGTGAATAAGGCCGGGGGTCTCATTGACACAGTGAGCTATGCACTCGCCACAGTTTCACTCAGGCCCACATAATCCAGCAAAAAATCCGCTGACATTACACTGGGGATGTAAGTGCTGCTTTTATAGTCTGTTGTGATTGATCGCTTAATGTGCTTTTTAACCCTTTGCGCCAGGCACTGGTGGCCTGTGACGGTCAGCTGGACCCAGTATTGCTATAGGTGCACCAGACCTGACAATCCTCCACTTTGACACTATTCATGTTGGAAACCTTAATATTACAAGGCCGCTGCTGACAGCAGCAATTAAATAATAATTAACTATCACGTGCTGTCATTACTCTTTCTGCGAAAACAGCATTTTATACCTCAAATTTAGAGGGTTTTTTTATATGAAGTAAACTTACAAATAACAACGATGTCATTTTCACAAAAAGCATCACCTGAAATTTACAGCAGCACACTGTGGGAGAATTGAGGTGGGTGGGATTTCAGGGCCTTGCCAGTCACAGTCATTTAGCACAAAGGGATGTGGGTTATACAAGTCAATGATTGGCAGCTCACTTGAAAATCCTGTCGTTGTGGGTATTTGAGCCTCCATTTTCTTACCTGATCTAGCAACCTTCAGGATCGAAGCCCCGAACCAATCCTTAACTAATTACCATTCGACTTTGATTGGAATTATCTCCAAAAAGAGAAAGCCTGGAAAAGTACAGGATCCCTGAGAAGGTCAGGCATGCAGGGACAAGGAAATGCAGATATCCAGTGAATGCCCTACTTCCAGAGCTCAGCTCAGATGGTCAGTGTCACTGGACGTTACACTGCCGGACCTCAACAGAAGACGCTGAGCTCTTTTTGGGGTTGGCACAGAAAAAAACCCGCAACTCTCCAAAGAGAGATTAATCAAAATGGGCAATCAATAACTTCTCAAGTGCTAATAAGCGCTGCCTCTTTCCATGATATGTAGAGCATTTTATCATCTTAACCGCACTGAGATTTATTGAAAATCTATTGTTGGGGACCAGAGCATGAGGTAATGTAGCACTTAGTAAATGAAGGAAAAACCAAAGTCTACCATGATTTGTATTTCATTTCCAAAAGACATGTGTAATCATTTCAATCTAGCTCTCTCCGAAATGCTTTGAGCACCATACTGCTGAACACATGGATCTCTGAGTCAGCTCAGCACAGGAGGCCGCAAAGGCCTAGAGTTTTTGATTAGATCCTTGTTAGTGGTTGGGATTGGGAAGCAAAGGGTCACTGGGGTGGTCGATGGCTGAGCTGATTAAAGGCATATTAGGTGACATTTATTGGCACGTTGTTCGATTATTGGATCCCTGGTGTAATGCAAATATAACCAAAGTGATCGGGCCATGAACCGTAACTGTAGGGGACATAATGGTTAATTAAATGGTAGACGTGCTCTATCTGTTGTCACTTATCTGATCAGGGCTCCAGAGAGGGGGGTTATGGTCTACTGCAAATCACTATGAGAATTCTGCAGTGACAGAGGGTAGAACCATATAATATCCTGATATACTGGAGCTATCAGACAACAGCATGAAAATCGAATCTATACACAATCTGAGGATGCAATGGATTGTGGAAGACCTACCTGAAAGTGAATATGCATGCAGGATTCATAATGGCTCACTGGGGGACACTAAGGTCTCATGCCTCCAAGGGATTTAACTCTTGTCCCGTGTTTGGGTAAGTTTCTTGCGAGCACCCTTTTCCTAACCTAGTGTTTTAAATAGATTGGCATCACTAAAATGTCCAGGAATGACATCCCATACAGGCTGCTCTCTGCCCTGTTCTTCCTAAAACAGGCTTCAGACTTGCTGTGAACTTGCACTGCATACGCAGTTTTTGACAGTGGAAAGAAGTATTACAAGATTTTGCAGCTCTGGTTACTTAATCAAGATATGAACATCTGTCAAATTGCTGTGTAGTTACCGCTGATGTTGTGTCGACATTTGTTTATCCACTCTGTTTAACCTTGGCACCTAGAACGTGACCATCAGTTTGGGTGCTAGCTGCATAGAACATCAAAGGAAGGAAAGAGAATATTGTTCTTGACCCAAATACACCCACCACAGAAAGTGCCCACACCGACTCCATGTAAGTTGCATTATTATTTCCTTCCGTGCTGGAAGTCAATCACACAGGGCCTCTACAATGAATTTCATGTGACGGAGGCTGGAAGAAAAACACCGTGAATGATGTGAAGCTATTGCTGTCTGTGACGACTTCAGCTCGCTCCTGGGAACAGTAGAGAAACGCTGAAGTGTCAGGCTAAATACCAGCCTTATCTCACACTACTGTCATTCAAGCTAACAATGGCGAGCTAAGTCGCTATACAATTGCCGACATTTGAACTTTAAATGCTTCTTGGCTTTCAATGGAGACGAAACAGCATCGTCAAAAACAACACAGGAAATAAGTGAATTAAACACTATACAGGCAGTTCCCAGGTTACGAACGAGATCCGTTCCTTAACTCTGTCTTTAAGTCAAAGTTGTAGGTAAGTATACAGTAGATAATACTAATAAGAATTATACAGTAATAACAAAAGTAACTAGATATGGTACTATACTGTACCTCGAGCCTGCTGAAGCCACACAATGTTTTTGCAAGCATCACAAAGTAATGTGTGCATTTGTTGTTAGAAATCATTGTATTTAACCTGAATTTTTAATATATTAGGTTTACAACACTCTGTTCGTAAGTACAATTTGTCGTTATGTTGGACGTTCTTATCCCAGGTACTCTCTATGCACAGTAAAAGGAGTCTTCAATTGGTTGTAGTTGTAGTCTGATGCTATTCACAAGAAATTCATTTTCCTTGAGTTGTCCAGTCAAAGCTCTGACAATAAAACCTGCTGAGACTCCATGGAAAGATGATCCCCAAGCAACCTGAGAGAGCTGAACTAAATCCGCCAAGAAGGACTGCTTAAAAAAAAAAATCATCCTGAGCTTCAGGAGATTCACCCAGATGATCAAGATCTCCACAAAGTGATCTGCAAAGTGGAATCCTTCAAGTGTTAAGTACAGGAGCATACAGAATGAATTCTTGTGCACTTGACAGGAAGCTAGCACTTTACCTTTGATCTTCTCTCTAAAATTAATTTTAATAACATCCATTCATCTTCTAGCTGGTTATCCTGCTCAGAGATGTTGTGGGGATTTAAATAACATCTTGGGGCAAATGTTATCACCCTTACTGCTGTTTAATTTAAATTTCTTCATCCTGTTGTTCTTAGTAATCTTTTAAAAATTCTTGTAATGTTTTCTGTCAACCGCACTTCTTTCTGCACATTTTTTCCTTCCGTTGAGCTTCATGAATCCAGAGATGACAGAACGGTAAACAATTAACTAATTATAATTACATAATACTTCAGCAGCATTAAGCTTGAAGACTTCAGCTCATGAACCTTATACCATGGCTTTGGTAAACAGTATTCTCTTATTGATCCAGAAATGTCACGTGGGTGTTTATTGTTTTCATGTAACCGCACATACAGTTCTGGCAGCCTAATAACAGTTCTATATGAATGCGTTTTAATGTTTTATTAAACGTATTAATATAAAAACCTGGGTGACTTTTAACTCATAAATAAGCAGTCATTCTTATCAGCATAATTTTCCTTGGTCTTTAAAACACAACCGCCTGTCTGTTGATGGTTTCTAGGGTAACTTAACAGATTTGCAGCATCCAGTGAGTTCCTTGAACAGACATTCTATCCTTATAGAGACTATATTATACTATAATTTTTAAGAGCACATTGGAACATTATGAAATGCTAATTGAAACAAATTTCCTCTAACCATGACTAGTTTATTCTACTATTATTTTGTGTTTCTTTGCCGTGGTATAAGGACCACTCTGAGGTGTGTGGTAGTACAAAAAATAATCAACTCCAACTTGGTTAGCAGCCCTCTACTTCATATCAGGCCACATTACACCAAGCTGTCATTGATTGTTTTCGTATAATCAGGCACCGAGTTGTGGTTTATCCCTTACTTAATCAACAGATATCAGTCAAATGTGAACAGGTACTGTTGCGTGGAAAAGCTAAGGAAAAAGGTTTTTCCTTAGAAACCCTGACTCACAGAGCAATTTGCTCTTTACTCTTTTCTCCAAGACCACCACAGAGATTAAGTCACATTTATGTATACTGTTGTTTAGCAAACACTTCTTTCAACTGTTTTCATCAGCAAACTGGGAATATCACAAAGCAATTTGGCTTTAAGCACCTCAGACTTGGCTGAAACCTCAGTGCCATCGCAGGAACTTACAGTTATGATTAACCACAGTGCCTCCTCCTGCCTTGACTCTGCCACCAGAGGGAATGTGCTTCATCACTCACCGACTAAGACTGTCATTTATCACAGCAACTGCATGGGGCAGAGGGAAGGGAATTCACTATTCCGGACTCATCTCCGTCCCGGTGCAGGCATCGGCACCACGAGAATGGGACGATGGCAGTTTTCCAAGATTCACATGTCTGTGGTACTCCACCATTCTTGCTCCCTCCAATTAACCTCCTAAACCTGGATATGAAAGAAAAATCAGCCATTTGGTGGCACATTCTCATGCTGATGTTCATAATTAAACTGACAAAGAGTGAATGCAAGAAAACATTCTTGCTTTATTATAATTATACAAATAGTTATTAATGTTAACAATATTTGGATTAGGAGCCATTTCTATCTAAAGCATCATGGAAAATGTTAGTTACACCAATATCTGTAACTTGACTCCCATCCTGGCCACAACTGCACAAAACACGCAAACCACATACTATACAACTTAAACCTCTTCCTGCATTATACATTTTAATACCATAAAATATATCAATTGCTGGTAAATTTCAAATTGAACCTGTTTTTATCATCATTATTATTAGCTGACTCAGTTCAGACAACTGTTCTTAAATGGTTGAGGATATACTGTATATTCCAGACAAGTCACGCATTCAGAAGAGAATATGAGGATTAGCTCATGATTAATATCCAGCACAGAGGGTGGTTAATGTATGGGCCAACTTATGAATATGTATCATCAGAAATTTTAAGGGCCAGTGTTAGATCTCCCTGAGTTTGACACAGCATATTGAGCCAAGCTGAGCTGTATTTAGCAGTCGGTTTTTACAACGGCAGGTGAAGCAGCAGATGGCAAAAACGAGTTATATGCTAGCAAAACTAGCCAATTCAATTTCTTAGAGAATGCCACACTCTCATCAAGTAATGTCCTTATGTGGTTGTGTTCCAATGCATCGTCTTGCCATGGAAGACCAAGGGCTGCAAGGATCGCAAGCGTAGCAGTGCAGAAACAATGTGTGAGACATGCCAGGTCACGACCAACATCAAAAGCACAGGACCTTGACAAAGGCTATTTGTTTTAGCAACCAGGTGACAGGCAGAGAATCAAAGGTCTATTAGCAACCTGAGAAAATCCAATAATACTTTGAGGCACCAGTGTGAACTAACATGAACATACTACCAAAATTTTTAAACTGGTGTCTTGTTACAAAAGCTATCGAAATTAATATAACATAAAACAAAGTATGAAACTGATGTACAATGTGGTATATCAACAATGTAGAACGCATTCCTTAATGTGCTGTATTGAAATAGCATGTTACATTATGCAGAAACAGGCCAGTGTCACCCCTCTAAATGAACAAGAGACAAACATCTAAATAAACATTTTTAAACATCATGTGAATTAAGAAATTGAAGTTGTCCTTATTTATGGATATTTGTACAATAAAGTTGTTTGTGGTTTACCTATGAGGTAAATAACAGTACAAACTGATACTACACTGGCAATGAAAACATCAGAAGAATCAACTGCATTTTTTCTCAAAAACCTACACTATTTCAGTCAGTACCCTATCCGTTTGTTTTTCCAATCATCTTGAAAAGAACTTCACTTTGATTTTTGAGGACATTATGGAAGGGTCAACGACTGAGTTTGAAGCTGAAAGGAAGAGGTTGACTTTTTTGATGGTGAGTTGCCTTTAATGCAAAAATTCAAGGCATGCAGACAAAAGCTGGCTGGAAAACATGCATAGGAGTATCATTTAACCCCATCGCCCAAAGCTTCATCTGCTGTTGTGGGTTATCACGGTCACCTGACAACGTGCCGAAGGTGTTGTCAGTGAACACTTATATATATATATATATATATCATTAAAAGCTAGCCCTCATCGAATAGCAGCAAATCTTCGGTAGTGCTATGGTGGATCAGATTCACGGTCCTGGGAATTCTCATGGAAGGTTGATCCATAAAACGTGTTCTACAACAAAATTTTTGTTTTTACAATACTTTTGGGAATATTTCGAAAATGTCAAAGTGAGCCTACAATTTCAGTCCTGAAGAAGTTTATCTGATAAAACTATGGGTGATTAAATATTCCTCACAAGTGTGCCAAAGCCTTAAATGTCAATATTTATTTAGAGTTCTTTCCAATAAGTGTATTGTAAAGTTGAAACGAAATTGCTAAACTAGAGAATGACGTAAGTGCTCATGGTGCAGACACCATTTTCAAAACAAACCTTTTTTTTCATATCAAACCAATATTCAGACATAATTCAACTTTAAAAACATACACGCTTAACGGTACATGCCTGCTAATGCTAAGAGCTGAACTGAGCCTCCTAAGGTTAGGGAAAGTCACAGTTAATATCCTGAACTCAACTAGACAGACCCTGGGCTCTAAGGCCAATGGAAAAAAACAAAAACCTACCGCTAAGTGTCTCACTTACCTTTGGAAACTACTGACTAAATACACGTGCGGTCAGAACTGTCAGTAATTATTTGCTTCAATTTCTTTTGACGTCTCAAATATTGCTACCATTGAAATTACATTCCCCGCAAAGCTTTTAAAACAGTGACAAATAGCGGGATTAGTTTGGCCTTTTCAACATGCATGCAGCGCCCAGAGTTTGCCGAAGGTTTTGGCGCGGCTCCCCTTTCACATCAATACAGGTTACCCCCCCCCTCCCGTCCGTCTTCTCCATCCCCTCCGCCCCTCTCCACCTCTTAAATAATCAGCTCTCCACATGACAAGGTGGGTTTCTTTTGAAAATACCACAGATTAGGTAAAGAGTTCCACAGAGGAGACATCTAAATAAATAATAGTAATGAGAAGAAAAACTCTTTAAAAAAAGGTATTTATTTAAAAGGAAAAAGACAAATGTCCACTTTGAAAATGAGGGTGCATACTGGAATCCTGCCGATGACAGCACAGGGAGAAAGCAGCTATTATGTTATTATGCTACACTAAGCTCACGTCTACTGTGTCTTAAAACTGCTGAATCCTTAATTAATAAATTGCGCTACAGCTCTTTCTGATGAAGCCAGTCAACATACATATCTTTTTTAACCTCAGGAATGCAGAATTCCCTAAAACCGAAACGGCCCCATAGAGCCCATGACTCAGATTTGTTGTTTTAGAGGGTCCGTCTGAATGACAGTCCTCATCGCCATTTGTAACTTCAGCCATCTGTTTTGGTGAGTCTGCCTGCACTTCAAAGTTGATCAAAGTCAAAAGCATTTTGGAACTGCCCAAACCACAGTGTGGCAAATAGCATCCTGCGGTCCGACAAACAAGAGATTACTTTCATCAGCCAACAAGAAAAGGATCTCAGAGTCCTACTTCCACTGACACAAGCTGAGAAGGTGACTCTGCCTCATCGAACAGGAATGAACACCTTTTCTTTTTTCTCAGCCCCTTTAACGACAGCTTTGAGAGTAATTTTCCGCATCAGTGTTTGTTCTCATTCGTAAAAAGCATGGTCTGTGCCCGACATTCCCAAAAGATTAATATGAATGATTTTTTTCTCCAAAGGACCACATAAAACAGCAGCTGGATGCATAAATGTCTGCAATGCAAGTGTGATGTCACAACCTGTGCACCTTACTCTTCAACTAGTAATGTATTACACTCAGATTGGGATAACTATATTATAACATAAAAAATTATCTACATTTCTAGTATAATAATATATTATTTAAGACTGCTTAAGGCTTAAAATCAGTTATATGTGACACACATCACTACACCATAGAGGTAATGTGGGTGGGTGCTTCCTTTTAAAATACGTTACCATGATAAATATGCAACTGCATCACTAAGAAGACACACACGGTATAAATGATAAGTAGTCTGGAAAACTTAACTGGAAGGCAAGCTATCGATAGTGAAAACAGTTCACGAAATAACCGCAGTGTGATGGATCACAATGAGGACACACTTGGACACCCCGAAGCAGCAATTACAGGATCAATGGAGCATGTAATGGTGGGATCTGCCATGCTGGTAGGGAGGCTGCCAGGCAGGTATGTGCGGTCAGCTTCCTACGCTAAAACACGGGGAGAAGGTCGATCCCTGCTTCAAATAAGACGCATTAAACGTTTTCGTTTATGGGTCTCTTTTACTTGAACGCTTGTATTAGGACAGGCGACTGGGGGAGAATTTACCGGTTGGTGGTCGGGCCGGTTGGATAAATAAAAGATAAAAATAATATTTCACTGGCGTTTTGACGTTATGTTTCCGGATGCTTCTAGCATGGAGGTCCATGCTAGTACGTTTCATTAGGTATATTTGTGTGGGAAAATAAACCAATAGCCACCTCCTTAGCGCCTCGATTACCTCGGTAATCCCGGGAATACGTGGACTTGAAGGGAGTTTCCGCAGGAATAAATCTCGATCCCACAAGGTGAACTTTAAGCTTGAACCACTATCAGTTAATAAAAAAGTACGTAGTCCTACTTTAATCTGCCATAAATACTTGTCATTAAAAAGCTATTATTACACATCCATGTTTATCGCCTAATGCACCTGACGGTTTGTCCGCTCCGAGAGAGCCGCGCGCCGTTATTAGTGAGAGGCGCGTTGCTAGGCAACAGTGAAAGCCGTAAACATTTTCCTTCACCGATAACAATGCGAAAGGTCTGTCTTTTCTCACTCCGTCCCGCATTCACTTAACAAGGTTATTTTTTAGTGCTTTTCTCAGTGAACCGTTTCAGTAACGACCTTGTTTCTCTCTGTTTAATGCCGTGTCTAATGCTGTCATTTAAGTTATAGCTCTCAGCTCGTGCGTGACTCGTGCGGGCTGGAAGTTATCCGCTGTAACATGTTAGCATGGTAGCTAACCCTCTGTCACGTTGGCTATGTATCATTGTCGACACTAGTGTATTCTGGAGTATTTAGATTTGGGTGGTGTATTATTTTTTTTTTATTTTGGTAATAACTAGATATTTAAATTTGGAAGATAGTTATTGCGCTGCGATTTAACTGGTTAATAATAAACATAAACATGAAGAGAATTATATGTATGCTGAAAGTTATCAGATATATTTGTGCTTATACACAATATTTTTGAAGACACTTTAGAAGCTCTTAGATGGCAGCACTCAATTTCCCGTCTATCTTCCAATCACTTATCCTGAGTTGTGTAATGGGGAAGGAGGTGCAGCCTGTCCAAGCAGCTTAGGGCACAAGACAGGTGCACACCCTGGATGGGACGCTAGTCCATCACAAGGGCACATGGTACACTATGGGCTATTTAGCCTAAATGTCTTGTCTTTGGACTGCGGTTGTAAGCCTGAATACCCAGAATAAATTCACACAACATGGGGAGAGCAAGCAAACTCCACATAAAGAGATGTGGTTGGATTCAAACCCAAACCCTGGAGGTGGGAGCTAATAGTTCTGTGCACTGAGGCAGCATACTGCCCATTCAGTGTAGCATCTAACATGAAACAAAAAGTACATCTTGTTGCCGTGACGTAGCTTAACTTACACCATGTCAGCATTTCTGATGTATCATTGCAGAGTAAATTTGTATGTTTTCAGTATTATTAGTATTTTGAGGTGGGTCTTAGTGAGTGAAAATAATTGACACCCTTTCCCTTCTTTACAAGGTAAGTCATTTTCTTTGCTTCTAAGTATTAATGCCATAGAACTGAACTGCTCCTTCTGATGCTCATTCTAAACGCATTGTATCCATTTCAGGTACTTTGTCACCATTAAGTAGTTCATCATGTAGTGGAGAGGATTATTTACAGTAATATGCAGCACAATCTTGTGAATCAGCAATAGGGGGCAGCGTACGGCTCGGTGGGCTAGGCCTCTGATCGGGAGGTAGGCAGTTCACGCTCAGTCTCAGCAGATCTGTGGGTCCTTGAGCAAGGCCCTTGACGTCCAGCTCCCTGGGCGCCGCTTTACGGGTGGCAGCCTTTCGCTGCCAAGGTTGCTCTCATGGAGGGCAAGATGGTGGAGGGGAAAAGAGCGTTTCCCCAGAGGAATCAATAAAGTGTCTGCTATTATTATTGTTGTTCTTCTTCTTATTAAATGGGACGAGGACCCTGTTATTGATTTGCTCCTTTGCTTCACCTGCAGGATCTGAGGTCAAAAGGTCACATCAACCTGGCAATGATGGCGGTCGCCTTGCAGGATCACGCGGTGAGAGATTTACAGCTACACCGGTTACCGCTGCAGGATTCAGTGCGGCGAAGACACACCGGTACACAGAGGGACAGGACCCCCCAGTGGTGGGCCGAAGCTGCGCATCAGTCTGGGGAAAGAACCCAGAGATGCCGAGAGGCTCACAGCCTGGAAGAGGAGTATGTCCTTGGGCCAGGCCCTCCACCACTTACATTAGGTAGAGTAAATGGCAATCCAGGGCACATAGCGGTGTCAGGATGGAATGAGGTAACACCCTGGCTGGCCGTTATATCGTAATTCCAGCAGCGACCTTGTTTCCTGGAGCAAAGCACTTTTACCTCAGGAAAATGGGTACCTGTTGACATTCCAGAACTCAGAATTTGATCAATGGATTAATTGAAATGTAAGATATGACACGTCTAATTCCCCGGTGTTGGCTTTCATGTTGCCGCGCTGGTTGTCATCCCAGAAGCTTGGCTTGGTCGACGCCCCTCCGACGCCCCTGACCACAGATGAGTGGCACCAGGTTAAGTTGCGGTCCCTCCAACAAGGGGACTCCAGCCAGCCCTGCGCCATCTGCCGGGAGGAGTTCCGACTCCAGCCCCAGGTGCGTGACCCACAACTCAGTTTTGCGGCCACGGCATTCATCACGCGCTTACTGAGCTTCACCCACCCCCACCGCATTCTCCAAGCAATCCACACAGACGGCAAATACTGCATTGCCACCGGAGTGTGACGCAGGGATTCGGCAATCAGTGAGTCATTGCGAGGGTCTTTCAGTCTTTACTTTATCGCTGGGATCCCCTTTTAAGAGGGCCAGTCTCAACAAAAAATACTCAGCAGACACGAAGGCCCAACAAAGGAGCTGTGTTGTCATGGAAACACTGGTAAATATTAGTCCAAAGGTGCCAGAAAAGAATTACGCTCTTCATGTAGCCCACGTGTAAGTTTTTAGTTAAGGTCATTCGTCAATTAAATAAAACATCAAAAAATGCTCTTCAAAAGCTCTTCAAATATGCAAGCTTCCTCCACTGACATAAGCTAGTTTTTGATTGTTGCTTTACAGTATTATTCACACAATGTAGGAATAGTTATTTTCCTGCCATATTTTTTCTGTTATATATAAAGTCAGTCAACATGCAGTTTCAGCGCCTTGCTCTTCAGGTATTAGATGGATTGCTTTCATACCACAGGTTCCTGAGAGAGAATCATTCTGGTCTAATGACTTATCTGGGTCCTTGATGTATGTCTCGCACCAGAGGGCACCCTGTTCTCCTGTGTGTAGTGGGTATGGAGATGATGAGGAATTGTCACAGCTCTCTGTGAAATGGCTCCATGCACCAGGCCCTAAGGGCCAGCCCTTAGTAGAGGAGCTTCAGTGGGAAGGTGTTGCAGGATGCCTGCCCTGGTCCCATTTTCCCCAGCTTGGGTTTACTGCCTCTGAGTAGGTTGCTCTCTGGGGGTCTGTGAAAGCCCCAGTTATACTGTATAAGAAGTGCTAGCGCTCGCCTGCTTGCTCGGTCGCTCACCAGAAGCCGCAGGAATAATTCAGAAGGCCCGCCCATGTCATCATAACCCCAGTGTTCATCTGAATCCCCAGGGCTAAATGCAGAAATGCACTGGTGCCCTGCGATCTGAATCCTCAGGGCGAATGTGGCACAGCAGAATTGACCAGAATCACTGCGGAAGAATACCCAGTAAGGTCACAGGATGTGATTGCAAAATGAAACCAAACTGTTTTTTTGTTTTTTTTAACTTCCATTGGCCTGTTATGTTTATTTCAGGGACATTGGGAGAGTTAAAAGGCAGGAATTAAGGGCAATCAGGCAAAGTGTTTAGATCTGAGGCCACCTGCCATTCATTCCAGTCGGCTGTGAACGAGCAATTTTTCTTGCAGAAACAGGTGTTGTCGAATCCGTAATTCGGATCGGAGATAGAGGGCTCTTCGGGACTGCAAGGCTGAGTGCCGGTTTTCACAGCGCTGCCATACACCTGTTATTTTTGTGTGATCTCGAGTCGCTCCGCAGGATGCCCGGCTTTCAAAGTCCTCCACACAGCACTTCTGAGGCGTTTTCAAACAAGCGGGGGAATTCACCTATTCATAGTGCACCAAGCGCTCACCCTGACGGCTTTCAAACCTCTTTCGCAGGTTCTGCTGTCCTGCTCTCACGTCTTTCACAGGGTAAGTTGTTCCTCCTGACACAGATGAGTTTTCGGCCCCCGCGAAGACGCCTTCTGACGCCCCCCCTCACCGCCCCGCAACCTGCGCCTGTCGTGCACCTCGCAGGCCTGCCTGCGTGCCTTGGAGCGCTTCTCCAGCAGGAAGTGCTGCCCCATGTGCAGGAGGAAGCAGTATGAGACCAGAGTGATTCATGATGCCGCTCGTCTCTACAGGGAAAAGTGTGCCGTCAGGTGTGCTCCCTCGACCCACTTACCCCCACACCCCACGCATTTGGAACGGGGGCCGTGCCGCATTCTGAGAGTAACCTAGGCTGGAAAACCCTACAGAACCCTACATTAGCATTTCCTGCTAATCATATTCTGCCATTTAAGTCGTAGCATAATATACCAGCTTTCTAATATCAGCTCTGTGATTGGTGGCTGTGAGAACACTGGACATACTATATTTCTGTTATAGTATTACTTATAATCATGTCCGTTATGCTCGAGAGTAAAACCTTAAAGGAAAATTCACTCCATATTACACTCCATGGTTTAGACCAGGGGTGGGCAATCTTATCCGCAAAGGGACGATGTGTATGCAGGTTTTTGCTGCAGCTCTCTATTTAGATTACTAATTAGAGGACTGGTTGGCTGAAGAATTCTCACACCTCTGTTTGAACAGCTGACCTAAAGGTTATCCCAAAAACCTGCATACACACCGGCCCTCTCAGGATATGATGTCGAATCCAAAACTTTCATTACCCTTGCCAGTAATAGCCGACGTCATCCCATTAAGGCATAAGCAGCCAGTTCGGGGCGTGAGACCCATGCCTCAGCACAGCTCGAGCCCAGTCTCTCCATCAGGATCCAGGCGTGCTGGAGAGGCTATGTCGCTCGGAGGTGGTACAGGCACGCAAGGAAGACGGTGCCTCCCAAGGACAAGCTGCTAAGAAGGAAGTTCTTCGAAGAAAAGGTACACAATCAGCTTTGCTATTCGACTGTCACACCTGAACGGTTTGAATGGAAACACACAGGCTAGATAAAGTACCTGTGAGATCATCTCTGCGAGGCACTGTGACAGTTCATTTTCCACTGCTTCCCCGTATCTGCCAGTCAGATGAAACGGTTTGCACTGGACCAAGACATTACCTTCCTAGGAAATCTGGCACATTTCTCCTGGAAGTTTATATCTGTTCTTCCCTTTTCGCTCAATTTAGAAAATTGGCGAGGTGGTTCAAAGGCTTCTTAGACCGAGGGATGGAGATGGCCACCCTATAGAAACTACGGGGTGGCGGGGGAGGACTATTCATTGGAGGGAGCTGGGGGGGTGGCTTTTGGTGCCGTGTGAATCGCGCACTGTCTGTAAACTAATTAAAGAGTGTGTGCTTCAGTCAAACAGATTGGACATTCCAGGAGAAAAGGAGAAAGGGCATCCTCCAGCGAGTGTTTGCCCATCCTCGTTTAAAACGCTTAAAGGACACATCAGGACGGAGCTTCGGCTATAATTGCTTTTTTTAATTATTTAAAAACACACGGCAGATGTCACAAACAGGAACAGACTTTGTGGGTCTAAAAAAAAGTTTTTATTCAATTTATTCGAGATAAAGAAGATGATAGAGGGTGCTGATGTGTCCCCTAATTTGAGAACTTTTGCTCTATATAATATTTTCAAGCTCCATTCTATGAATTTTTTTACGTTTTGAGTGGGTATGATAGAGAATATTATATCTTTTGCCCCTTGTACCCCAGTAGCACAAAGACACTATAGAACGCACACTATCCATAAGTCATCTTAATACACACAAACCAAATTAAATAGTGTATCAAAATATGAAATTATTTATGCCTGTTTTTTGTAATGCAGCTCAAATCCTTTATTTGGGCTCTCCATTTGCAGAATGCAGCAGCTGTTCCAGTTAACAGGAACCAGTACAACGAAAATAGCTTCTTGGTATATTCAGGCTTGGGGAAAAATGTTAAGGAGAAACAGAGATGCAATACTGCCTGAGATGGTCAGGTATTTAATGTTGAACAGTGTGTTTCTAACAGGATGAGTAGAGTTGAGATGACTATTGGGCACAGCTAAAACTGTCCGTAAGGTACTCTCAGGAAGCTAGTGGACCATCTGCTGTAATTACTGCACCTATTTATTTGGGGTATGTGAGCATGATTGTATGTGAAGGTTATTCAGCGGAGGACACAAACAATCCTTCTGCCTTTTAAATATTTTATTCACGGTGCAGTTGCACAGTTGCAGAAAAGCCTTTGGTCACAATGCATTTACAGAGAATCGTTATATCAAGTACCAATTTTTTATTTTGAAGTGATGAGAGTGTCTAAAGAGGACAGTCTTTAGTCTCAACAGTGTGGAAAAAATAATGACACCCCCCCCCCCATTCTACTTTTTTACCCTCACTCTATTGGGCTGTGGTGACCTTTCATAGTGGCGTAAAACAAAACTGTCACCATCACCACAAACGTTCTGACGAATCGTTGAGTGCACATACTTTTTTCCTTTTTTGAACCCAGCCCAACAATCCATCTCAGTGTCCTGAGGTCAGATCAAACGAGCGAAAAGACGGGAGCTGAATGCTGTGGCCTCGGAGCGTGTTTACAGCTTTAATTGTTTTCGCCTTGTCACGTTCCTTCGTTACTTTAATCCTGGTCCAAAAAGCCCGGCTCGTGCAGGCCACATAAATCTCAGCGCAGGCGTTTATGGCTGTGATGAAATCGGTGTCATCGCACTGACAGTTATTTTGGGGGGGGGGGCTTGCAGGGGTTTGAGGAAGGGATTGTCATTTCAGGTTCCCTCGTGGAGCTCTCCAAGCATTGTGATTTACATCTCCCCAAACAAACCAGGGACACTGAGCATTCTTTACGCTTTCCTTTATCATCCTGAAATGGCAAACATTGTCACACTGTTGCCGACTTGTACTGGCACCGAGCAGGTGGCTTTAGAGGATATTAATAGTATTGAGGAAAGGAGGGGAAAGGGGACAAAAAAAACTTATCAGTTTCTTTGTTGATACGCTTTAAATACCAGGCTTTTCATTTTACTTTTGAGGTCCTACCATAAGTCAACACATTAGGAGGCAAATTAGCGACTTCAAGATTGATCGCCTTGAAATGTCCCCTGTGTGCTGGCCAAAGTTCACCTGCGATCATATCTGTTTGCCTGGAGAAGTTGGCTTCAGACACTGTTGTTTGATTTGCGATAACGCTTGCGTGACGTCACGATGACACGGGGCTGACCGCTGGGACATCGTGTGTCCCGTCACCACGTATAACCGACTCCTGGCTTAATTTCCACCATGGACTTCAACGTGTGTGTGATGCCGAAAAAGAAATTCATCTTAACCTCAGTTAAGAACGGTCTCGTGACTTCAGCACATGGCTTCATTATTAGTGTCTTATCCTACCGAATGACATCAGTCAATTGCAGTGTAACTGTTACTATTCTTATTGTGCCAATTAGCTGCAGGAAATTAGCGATGGCTTCATGCGATGCTGTGACAACAGCGTTGAGGAATTCATAAGCGCCCTCGACCTCTCCATGGAGTCCAGTAGGCAGGCATTCCGTGAATTTGATAGGCAGCACCTCTCCCAGATGAAGGAAGAGGACTGGGCCAAGATAAAGCAAAAGGTAGGGGTCTTAGCCACCAAACACCACACTGCAAGCTTCTGTGATGTCATAATTGTTGGTTAGCAAATCCATTTCTACCTTGAAGATGTTTGTAAATACTAAAACTCATGGATATGTAAGCTGAAATGTATTACTTTAAGTAAGCAAAAGAAAAATCCAATTGGCAGGTTCATGGTACAGATTTATTCACTTGATGGGAAGGGAAGTTTATGGTGTTGGGTCTGTCTGCTGACACTGTCTGGGTGTCAACCACATGGGGAAAAAGTGCAGCCCATTATCTCCTATGAAGAGGTCAAGCACGGGGCACAAGTTGCTCAACCTTGACTTGAAGTATAGAGTTCCGAGGGTTGTTTACCAAGGACCCGTCACATGAAGTCAAACATAATAAACGTTACAGGCCTCTGTATTAAACATCAAGCGTCAACTCGTTTTCAAATAAATGAAAAGGCCCTTTGGGTTAATAATTGATTGCACTGTAGATACCTGCCCAGTACAACAGCCGTGATAAATATGTTATTTGAATGAGCATAAATCCACCCGTCTGACAATGGTGACTCGTACTGAGGGTGTCTGTCGAATTCACTGGGGCTTTGGGAGAGAGGTGATCCGTTCAATATTTGATAAGTTGTGGGTCGAACCAGGCCCAGTAAGCACTGGGAACAGGAAGGGATTGGCCAAGCCCCTTTCAGTGGGTCACGGCGCTTCCTGTGTCGCAGGCCTCACAGCGAGAAGCTTCGGACTGCCCCATCTGCCTCACTCGGCTACACCCTGGCAGCGTGGAGACGTCAGGGAGGCCCAGTGGAGGGTTCCGGCAGGCCATGCTGCTATCTTGCTCACACGTCTTCCACGCGTGCTGCCTGCAAGCCTTCGAGGAATTCTGCTGGGAGGGGCGGCCGGTGTGTCCCGTGTGCCGCTCACCCTATCAGAAGAGGGCGCTGTAATCACCTTATTCCGTGAAGGGCAAATCAGCATAAGGCCTATATGAGTATCATGGACCATAACCACCTGGTTAAGTATAACAAACAAGTGCAAATGGAGAGATGACAGCAAAACCACCATCTGGTTCCTGCATCCTAAAACATACACAATTCCCGGTTAGTCATATGCATGAACTAGGAAGTAATTACAATTTAAGGACAATTTTACCATCACTGAATTCTATTGCTTACATCCATCCATCTTTCACCTGCTAATCTTAGTCAGGGTCACGGGGGGGGGATCAGGAGGTCACCAGTTCAAATCCCAGGGTCAGTAGGGTGGCTTCACTGTTGGACCCTTCAGCAAGACCCTTAACCCCCAATTTTTCCAGCCAATGTCTGACCCTGCTAGCTCTCTCAAAAACAAAAGTAGTCTGCTAAATAAATTAAATATATACTTTCTCATAAAAGATGTAGTATTTCATTTGTGTTTGTGTGTTAATATGTAATTCAAACTTTATTAAACAAATGGCTACCAAGCAGATTAAACTAACAATACTGCAAGCCACAAACCTAATCCAAAAAAAAAGATGCTGATGATTACTCAATATTAACCAGTACTATTGCTTTTAGAATACCTTTAAAGACAGCAATGTATGCATCATACAGAAAACCTTCAATATTTGGAGAAATATGCAGACACAGATTCTTTATCCCTAAATATTCTCTCAACTTAAAAACCTCAAAATGAGGTTAATAACACAAGGCTGTGAAAACAAAATCAGCCCACTGGGCAGACACTGATCAGACAGACCTAACTGGGATGTGAGACTGTGTTTTTTTATAAATAAGAGATAAGACGTTGGAAAGATAGCAAAAGGTGGGGGGGAATTTAGCCAACGTTTGCTTTAAATGTCTTAAACATTCTAGTACAAAAGTCTGCATTTTACCATGTCTGCTGGGTCTCAAAGCAATGACAGGTACAGCACCAATGTAATAATAAGCCTTTGTTTGCTTCTCAGCTATTTTGGTGATTATAAATACATTGTATTAATCAACAGGCACCATAAAAAAAATTCTGATCTGGTTGCCATGGTGCTGTAGACCTATTTGGCAGGTTACAGAAAGGTTGCTGCTGTGATGCAGTAGTTATGTATCGTTTTGTTAACCCCCCACCCAGTCAGTCGTCTTCCCTGGATCAGGTCAGTGGGCCGCATTCCTCTGAGCTGTAACAGCTTTCAAAGGTCAGTCACTCTGTCTGCGTCCATGGTCAGGGTATTGTGGGAATGCAATGCGGTACTGCAAACACTCCAAGCAGAGATGTGGACACAACCATAAATCTGCAGGGGTTTTTTTTTTTGTTAAATTTGACAGGCAATTGCGCCATCAGACCAAAAACAGTTTAAACAACACAGGCAGGGATCACTCTGTGGACAATGTGATTTTTATACCATTCACATAACTTCTAGTGCTGTTTGTTTTATTGTGCTTCTGTAAAACAAACACAGGCAAAATGGAAGACATCTCTGTGAGTCCAGAGCTCCACCTCAAAACATGTACGTTTGCCAAATGACATTTATTTGTATGGATATGGGCAAAGAGTTAGAAAATGTCCACATTTCAGATGAGCTTGAGGAAGACAAATCCATTTAACCTTAGACCTGTACTCTGCTTATTGCTCACAGAAGCAGGTACAGTTGGGAAAACTTACCGAAAGTTCAGCTCCAACTCCAAAATGGTTTCCCCACAATAAAAACGGCTTCATTGCAGCTGCTGTGGGATTCCATTAGCATATGTTAATACATGGCTAACAACCCGTGTTAAATAAACAGTTACCGAGCGGAGAAAAATAAAAACAAACACCAGCACAAGTCACAAACTTTATTGTAAACTAAAAAAATTACAATGTAAACCAATACAAGTATCGAGAATGTTTCACAAATGAAAACACTGATCATCATCCAAAATACATTCACATCGTTTTCAGGAATGACATGCAGAGACGGACACTTGTCATTTTTCCTCAACTTAAAGCGACGATGAATGACAGACCCGATAAGGCAACCAAAAATGTTAATTCGGTCCACCTGGAGCCCTTGAACCAGTAGACATCCAGGGCTAGAGATTGTCCAATGAAGAGCTTGGGATTTACAGCTAAAACAAAGTGACGGGTGGATGCCCACTGGACTCATACTAGAATGCAGCCCCATACTAGCACACATGGTCGACGTGGGCAGGTTGCAAAGAAGAGTCCGGATTCCGCATGGGCGTAAATGGCGTGCTTTGTGAGCCATGGAATGGACGGTACAAATAGACAACCCAGCGAGCAAGCTAAGAACTTGCTTTAGACCTGAAACTTTGACAAAAAACACCCACAGAACTGTGGTATAAAACTCAGAACACAGCACTGGGTATGGCACTGAAGCACTGTACCTACAACACATTAACGAAATAAAAAACGTGATGGAAACACTCTAGAACATCAACTGTAAAGTGAGGCGACACATAACAGAAGGTTGTAACTCTACATGCAACAATCAGCTATGAATTTTTGTGAACTTTTTTTTTTTTTTTGTTTTTAAATCTCCCACTCCTCACTATTCTCCAGAACCATCCACAAAACAAATGCTTAAACATTTCTACACTTTCCTCATAGATGCATTAGGCTGCTTCTGCAAAATGTACAAATAAATGTCGGCTACACATGTGAGATATGGCCAACTTCATACCAACATACCAACACCAACATGACGAGTGGATATATTGATACCCCAACAACTATCCAGGGCGTTTTCACATTTAGAAAGTTTTTGAAGGAAATGGAGAAAAAAAGCTGACAGATGTTTGAGGAACATGAAAATATGGGCAATTATCGAATTAGGTCTTTACATATACCACCAAACATCACACACACACACACACACACACACACACACACACACACAACTTGTTCACAGTAGCTTTCTTTAAGGAAGAAATATCTACACAGCCAAATAAAATGCTGGCTGGACAAGACAACAGGTCCAGCACTACTACCTTTATACTGAAATACAGGCAGGATAAAATTTTGGCAGGTAAAAATTTGGATTTAATCTACAAGACCATCTTCAGTCATCTTTGTGTATCTCTCAGTAGCTGAAATTAGTAATGCTGTTACAAAGTATTACCAAAGGGGGGCACTATACTAGACTAAATGGCATCTGCCTGACATAAATGAAATATGCATGTCAACTGTTGATAAAAAAGGCTCTAACGTAGGTGCAATGCAAAGCATTCTAATTATATCTGCCACAGCCACTTACTATCCGAGACGCTGCAGCCTACCATGCCAAATCTTTAACCTCATTTTTTAAAGGTCCATTTTGCCGATGTTTAAACCTGTTATTAACTATTTACGGAGCAGAGAGCCTCACCCAGCAACTTCCTCAAAGCCGTACAGCTGTGAGAGACCAAACAGATCCTCATAAAGATGTTACTGCTGATGGGTTCACAGTGAATTTGTCATTTTAAAAACTACACAGACACAGGCGCACGCACATTAACAAAAAGGGGGGGGGGGGAACAGAAACTCAAGCTCACTTTAAAGCAGGATATCAGAAATCTTCTGAAGTAGGTCTTTGAAAATCTCATTATAAGGCATACATAGGTGAAATGTGAAATCAAAGAACTGCAGTATGAGGGGTTTCGTACTATTTACAATGTGTACATAGTCATCACTATACTCGCTGTATAAAAGGTATGAAATATTTATGTACATGCAACTTCATGACAATGACATTAGTCAGAACTGGCAATAACTGAACTGTGACCACTCCAATGAGACTGGTGCTCTGGCCTTCAACAGACTACAGCAAATCGGAACAATAATGCTGAGAAACAGCCAGGGACAAGGAGAGGTTCATAACAGCCACTAGATCTAAGACGCCAGACAGCTACACGGGCTTTTTCTAAACAGGAGTTTGTATCACACATTTCTACTAACACACAAACAGTCCTACACCCACTTTGGTAAATGACACCTCTGTCCCAGATTAATGCGCAGGTCTAGCTGTTCATATGTTCTCAGTGGTTTCATTGTCATGTGTGAGCAGGAAAAGAAAAGCGATATAACATATAAGAATGAAAATCTGAAATTGTCCCTGTGGCATCTATGGAATGCATATATCTACCATAGTGATATCCAGCATTAGTATAAAGTCTTATGAACACATTACACACTAAACGGACAAAGGTGACTTCTGATTGGACATCAGGAACCCAGAGACACGTGCAGCTCTTGTCCAGGAAGCGGCAAGTCGGTGGGTCAAACAAAGGCGACCAAGGCTTCTACCTGCAGGGGGCAGCCTGGTGTGGACTAAGAAGCTGTTCTCTGGCCTTAAAAAGCTTAAAAGAATAAAATTAACCAGTGACAGGAAGTTCCTCGCCTAATATTGCTCATGGGTTACAGTCTAGCAGGTGTTCACCATCTATAACATCAAGATATTTTTTTAAATTAAAGGTACACTCATTTTTAGCATTCAAGGAAGTAAACAAACAAAACAACTGCAGTTGCCTATTAAAAATCCCACCTTGACGCGGATGGGGGACCCACATACCCCTCGCCGCTAGCTCTCTGTGCTCACCTCTGAAGTGCCAATCAGCTGAACAGAAACCCGAAATTGCCTCACTTCAGCTCCACAGTCGGTCAGAAGTGACGGACGGTAACGTTCACCGCAAATTCACACCAAATCCTCCCCCAGAAGTTTAACTGCTGTCCTCAGGGGTGAGGAAGCCCGAAACAGACAACCATGTGGGGACTGGGGGCTGGACCCAGAACCTGCCCTCATGTCTGTGGCCTCATCATGGAGATGCGAGTTCACCATGTGTAGGTGCAGCAGCTAGTTAGTAATTAAGGCCAGGGTCTCGACTTGGCCCAGTGGGTTCTGTACTGCATTTCGGGGGGGGGGGGGCTGCTTTAAATGCCCTGAGAAAGTTACTCAACCAGAATTGTACTGAAACAGGGGAGCTGATTTAGATAAATGCCAAGTTCCATACAATGGCTGCTCACTGAATGCCCTGCCGCTACAGTACATTAATATTCGATTGCTTCTGTTACCTGCGTTTAGCTTTAATCCCAGGAAGATCTTAAGACAGGGTATGAATGCTTAAAATACACTCATAAAAATATTCTCCTGCTGAACTAGCCATAATAGTCCAGGTGCAATCCGCAGGCCGGACCCTAAAAGTACAAGTACCAGAGATCTTACGAGTGAAATCATCACGGAGCAGCACAGCTAGAGGAAAACTGCAGATTCATTCATAACTACATCATAACTTTTTTTCCCAGATCACTAATATCAATATCTTGACAATGTCTTTCTAACACCATGAAGGACACAAAAAAGGACCAGAGAACAGGACCGATAGCTCAGTAACATGATGTGACGATGTGTAACAGACAGCTAGAGGAACAGAGAGCCTGACAACAGGCAACGACAGCAACAGAGTGTGACATCACAATGGGGGACGTCACCCCCGACGACTGATGAATGCCAAATTTATGACTCGGGGTAAACGTAGCAACATGACTTGCATTTCTTCCCCATTTTCCCGTCAGTCAGAGCACCCCAGGGGATTGTTTACAAACTGGCTCTGCTGATGCAGGGGGAGGGACAGGCCGGTTCGGGGCCCCTTCTCCCGATGGGTGTATACCCAAGAGGAGGACCTGGAGGGCAATGGAATGTGGCGCAGCTGAGCGCTCCTCCCAACGACCACCACGGCAAGCCCCGGGTCTCCTTCACAGAGACTTCTGGTGGCCGTTCGCAGAGTGTTTGGTGGGTTCTGGGTCTGAGGGGCTGTTTGAGAGGTGCAGCTTATCCAGACCTGTGTCCCAAAAAATAAGCAAGAGTTTTACTCCAGGTCAATGGTCATTCACCAGGGTTTAAATTAAAGACTGTTAAGACGAAGCTTCAATGTGTCATCGCCATCCCCACTGTGGCGTTTCAGGCTGGTAAATGGAAAATAATTTTGCCCCATTTGACACCACAGCCTGAAGTCAGGTGGGTAAACACAGCAATTCAATGCGAAAACCAAGACTGGACCCTTTGGACAATATGAAGTATTGATAGAAGTCCATCATACAAGAACAAGGAATATTGGTCTTACCCAAGGCCTTAAGCAGAGCTTCTCGCACAGCTGAGGTGAACTTTCGCACGAGGCAGAGGGTCGTCACCACAGCGAAGAGCAAATTGTATGACAGGACGATGTAGAAGTTTCCAAGCCAATTAAATCTCCCGAAATCCCCAAGGAGGTCAAATCTCGTGATCCCTGTTGACAGAGTGAAGGATACTGTCAGGCTAACACATATGGGATGGCACGTGTCGAACAGATTTTTTAAATGTTTGTGTCCTGCAGTGACCGTTCAGTAATATTCCCAGTGAAAGGTTCCATGTACTTAGTAACACCTTGTTATTTTTTTTTCCTTTTTGTGTTGATTTCTAAATCTAGCTAGCTAGCTAGCTAGCTAGCTAGCTAGCTAAATAAATAAATAAATAAATAAATAAATAAATAAATAAATAATCGGGGGGTAATATCGGTATCCACTTCCTATCACAAAACAAGCACAAATTGCACCGAATGTGCCCATACCTACGAATATATATATCGGTTTGGTGTGACTGCAAATGCAATTACACAGTATTAGCCACACATAAACTGATTATGCTCAATGTCCAATACTACCAAAGTCACCCAAACAGACTTCATCGCTTTTCATTAGCTAAAATCACGAAACGGACCAACGCGGCACATCCCGCGATGGAGGGGACGCTCTGGGAGCAACATAGCGCAAATGTTTTGAAATCAAACTCTCAACAGGCAAACAAAACCAAACAAAAAATGGGGGGGAAAAACTCCAAAACAAACAGAAAGATGACATGATCATTCTCTATTCAAAGCTTATTCACAGCTGTGCCATTGTTCCACCGTCCTTGGCAAGACAAGCCAAGTATTTACAAGCACTCCAACAAAACGTGCTATTCTGGAACAAGTCAGTAGCCCCTCCCGCCACCATTCAGGTCCCCATAAAACGGGCAGGAGTCGCCAGCTTCAGAAGACAGGGAGATTTGCGAAAAATAACGAGAGAATAAAAAGGGAATGGGGGGCAGTGTGTCACTCAAGGCCCTTAGCCCCCAACTGCTCCAAGGATTGTCTGACCTTTATTTCTCATTAGTACATCACAAGATAAAAAAGCATTAGCTAAATAAACACGTACGCATTCCCTCTGACGCTTATTCAGCATCACATGGACGGCATGATTGCCGTGATGATACTCCTTCCTGTGCATTATTTTGCTCCAATCACATTCATCCAAATGAACAGTTTAACATCCAGAGCTTCTAAAAAGAGGCGGAGTTGGGAACACTGACCCGGCACTAACGACCACCACGAGCCGCCCTGGGGCACGGAGGTGGCTGCTTATACCCAGCTGAGGCTGCAGTGCAGCGACAGGCAGCATCCTGCTGGCTTCAGCTGCAACACGGCACCTCGTGCCAACCGGCATGCCCGACCCAAAACCCAGGATCCCTTTTCCGGACCTTGCAGCGATTATTCACCCTCCAGGGGCGAACAAGCCTTGGGGGGGGGGGGGGGGGAAGGAAGAAGAGAGGAAGAGGAAGGAATAGAAAGAAAGGAGGAAAAGGGAAGAAACAGAGGGAGACAGGGGGAGATGGGGGGAGAGAGAAAGGGAGAGAAAGTAACAAAAAAAAATGGGGGAAAGAGGGAGAAGCGGAGGGAGAGAGACAGAAATGGGGGAGATGGGGTGGGAAAGAGAAAGAGGGAGAGGGAGATAGAATAGAGAAAGGGAAAGAGGAATAGAAAAAAGAGGGAAAGGAATCAAGAGGAAGAAAAGAGGGAAAGACAGAAAGAGAGGGAGAGAAAGAAGGAGAGGTAGACGGGGAGAGAAAGAGGAATTGAGAAAGAGTGAGAGCAAGAGGAAGCCACTGAGAGAGGGATGGTGAGACAAAGAGGGAGAGAGAATGACAGAGGGAGAGAGAGAAAGAGGAAGAGAAAGAGAAAGTGAGAGGGAAAGAGAGAGAGAGAGAGAGAGAGAGAGGGAGGGAGGCACAGCTGCATGCAGCGATATCGCAATTAAGCAAACCTCATCTTCATACGCTCCCACTGAGCAGCGGCCTCTGACAGGCGTCTGGTGTCCACAAGTCGTCACGGCGCGTACATGGGACCCGTGCCGTCCATTGGAGAGCCACTGTGATCATCTCATCTCAGCCTCCCAGGCGGGCACCCCATCACCCCGGAACCCGCATGCAAGCCAGACGGGACGCGGCCGGATCTCAGGGACGGGGACGCCGCCGGGGCGCCTCTCTGGGCCCCATGCCGAGGCCCTGCAGACCTGGGCCGGCTTTTCAATTTAAGGCCATCTGTCATCAGAGGTCGCACGCGCTGCCGCCGGCGGCGTCTCCCCGCTCATCTGTCCCTGGCTGCTCCGGAACTTTCCGCCCTCGCAAATTAACGCCGAGCTGCATAGCTCCCAGCGCACTGAAGGCTAACTCAAAAATAATGAAACATAGTAACATGGGCAAAAAAAAAAAAAGGAGATTGAATTAAAAGCCCTCCAATCTGCAAGGGGCGCTGGGTTTTCACATCCTCGGTTCCGACACTCATGACATACAAAAGGAGACTCTCAAAGAACACAGAACATCTATCGCTTAAACATATCAAACCCACGGCACACAACAGGTCAACAGGTGTGCGACCAACCCCAGCCTCTGTGGTTCATTGGGGGTATCCCACAAAGCTGAATATCTCAGTTAGCTGGATAACTTAAGCCAAACATGAAAACGGTTCAATAGTGGGAGAGATAAGTGACATTCCTATTGGACAATCCTTACATTTGGCTTATCTGGCTAATGAAGAAATCCAGCTTTGTGAAATGTTAGGCCTCTGTGCATGTAATCAGAAGTTTGCCGGTTTGAATCCCATCCTTGGCAGAATAACAACCTGTCCTCTTTGGGGTCATGAGCAAGGCCCTTAAAATGCCGGAATAAATACCCAACATATAAAAGAAGCATTTCAATGTGCTTGTACTCGTACAAATGGTACAACACATACGTTGTCCCAGTGAGGGCTGCAGGAATGCTGCATCCACCCCCCACCCCATATCTGACATCTGTCGTTCGACTGTGGCGTTACAGTACATTGCATTTCTCAAAAGAGCCACAAAACAGAACCAAACAAAGCCGACCTGAATGCACGCTGCATTCATTTTATCCCAGCATGCCGGGAGATGACAACCTGAACTATGCAGGCCAGTCAGTCTGAGAACAGGGACTGCGCTTACTTCCGTGACACAATCAGTCCATAAAAATCTAAGTTTCAATTCACCTTCCTTAAAAAAAAAAACTTCAATAAACGTCATAATTCACACACCTCAACACTTTAAACTGTATCACTGCTGAGAGTGTGAAACCAGCATAGGAGACTAGTTGTAGTCGAGTGCAGATCTATCCCTCTACAGATCACATGACCCATGGACTGCAGGACGCTGCGGAGAAACCTGTCTCGATCACCCTGCATGGCCTTCCGCAGCGCTGGTAAAATTCCCATTCCTCCTGCTGCCATAGAAACGACGGAACTCTCAAAAGGCAGCAGCTACACGGGAGATGTTGGGGGATGACCGTCCTGCAGCTACTGCGCAGGTATCTGGGGCAGGCGTCCTCAGAGGCCCTTAACTGCCCCATCATATCCCCTGCAGGCTGAGACCAGCTTACGGTTTCTGGATCCACAAAAGTCAGGTACAGTAAGTGAAAAGGCTCCTTTGAAACAACTAGGATTCTAAAAACAATATTAATGTTCCACAATGGAAGTCTTCTGCGGATGCCGATCGACTGACATGGGAATTCCATTCCATAGTGGACGGTAGGAACGTCACAATTCTCGCAAGTCTTTTAGAAGGGGGGGGGGGGGTTCGGGGGGAGTTACCACTGTGACATGTTAATTCTTGGCATAACAGGGCTGAAGACAGCAATGCTTAAGTTTACCTTTCCCATCAGACTCTGAAGGCCCCCCCCAGCCCGCACGTCCGCCGCGTGAGGTCCCCCACCCCGATTCGTTAGCATACGATTCCTCGCTGGTGAGCTATTCAGCGGCAGCGGGTGGAACCCGCCAAGCCGCGCGTGTTGATACGCTACGCAACTCCCCGCTACACACCGGTAATGCTATTTGAACAGCTGGCCCGCCGCTCTCCGCATTTATCAGCGCCATTGTGATTGCACCATCCTGCCCCCCCCCCACCCCACCCCACCCCCAGCTTAATTCTTTTTCAAATCTCTACGGTAAACTATCAAGGAATTTGACTTTCCCGGCATTAGAGGCTGAGATCTGCTTCTGCCTGGCAGCTCGTTAGGCTGTGCTCCCCCCCCCCCCCCCCCCGTCATTTTAAAGACAAAGGTTGAGGGAGGAAAGGGGGGAAAAAATAAATCTCATGCCAAGACCCTCCCCTGGTCTTAAAGTGTCTTGAGGCTGGACTCTTACTTTTGACAAAACACATAAGGGTACTGTGAGATTTACAGACCTCACACTTGTCATTGTGGTTTATTTGACACAGTGTGCAATACGACAACTGGATATTTACTTCTCTTCCATGTCAGCACCTCTAAGGCCCAAGCTCCCACCTTTCTCATCTTAACTGTAATTCCTCCATATCGCCGCCCTAGTGGCCTTCAACCGTTGCGCAGAAATGGCAACCCAATTTGCCGATGAGGGAATGGGGTAATAATCTCACAATAATCGGATTCAAGTCACAACCAAAGACGTGCTACAGATGCTCACTGGCATCGAGATTCGGTGCTAGAAGCAGGCCTCTATTGACCCTGAGAGAATTGTATCCTCTCGCCCGCCCCCCCCCAGCTCTGCAAACCGCAGGCAGGCAGGTGAAGGTCACAGCGCCTACCCCGCTGTCAACAGCAGAAAGCCTACAGAAAACACTTTTATTGAAAAGGTTTACAGCACTTAATACTGTGCTCCAGGTGCCCTTACATGGATATAAGCAAGGGCAAACATGCAAACGGAAGGAGAGATAATGAAATAAAGGGCAGGATAATACACCGGGACTAACATCAGGAAGCGGCGACCAGCAAAGCCGGGGTGGGAGACCCGCACTTTTGGCCCAAAGGATACAGACCTTGCCACCTATTTACAGACGGCCTATTCCCCGGAAGCTCACCTGTGTTAGCATTGCTAAATGCTTTGTTTATACGTTAAAAGTGGGTTTTCCCCTGTTTTTTTTTTTTTAAAGCCCCGATTCCCAGAGAAAGTGGAAATTCACCCAGCGTCCGCGACATCACTGGCAACGCCGAGCTCAGCACGAGGATCGACACACAGCATCCGATGATCTGCCAGAGAGAACCACACGTTAAAATCAGCCATCGTGAGCAGGGGTACGTTTCTCGAAAGCTCCGTTCCCGTTAGCGACTTACATAGTTGGAACCATTGAGTTGCACGCTTCTAACTACGTAAGCTGCAGCAGCAATGCTTTAGGGAAACTTACCCCCAGATCGGATCGCAAAACACAACAAGGGTATTGGAATGGACCTCGGTTGTAAAATACCCCTCTAAAACATTACATTTCAGACACAAGTGCTACTTGTGGGCAGAAGCCCAGTGCTAATCATCTCAAGCGAGCCACACTACTGGGGAAGCAGGTCACATGGGTTCCACATGCAAGGGCCTGACCGTCCTCACCGTAGTCATGGTGGTGTCGTCCTTCCTGGGAGTCAGACCTTCGAACACACGCAGGCTATAGAAGCCGACGACAGAGGACACCAGCAGGTAACTATTTCGGATTAAGGAAAAGGACACCCTCCGCAGGGAAAACACCCCCCAGCACCATTACAAAGACAAACAAAACTGGACATTTTTTATTCTGCCATAAAACCACCCATGAAACAACATGAACCCACAACCAAAATGGCCGTTAGAGAACTTGGGTACGGAGGTCAAGGAAAGGATACAACATAAGAATGATTTCAATTGCTGCTTGCACGACCCCAAATGTCGACACATTACCTATTCCTCTCTCCTGGGGGGCAGAAGGGGAAGAAACATCAGATTATACAACAACAGTACACTTCTGTATATTTTGGCTCTAAAAGGAAAATATAACTCTCATAATAAAAACAGTTTGCTATACATCAGAGCTGACAAGAAAACTTCAGACTGAAATGGCACCGAGCCGCCGGAATGGCGAACGAAAACAGACAAATAAATTCTTTTTACTACCATCGTTAATCACATAGTAATTGAACAGGTGTTCAAACAAAAAAGCCATACGCTATGCGATAAGGGTAATGCGGCTTCAATGCATGTCAGTATGAGGAGACCAAACAAAACAAAACAAAGGCTTCAGCAAATGCTGAGATTTTCATTTGAACTTAGTTGTTAAGTGAGAAATATTTGCTTTTGTTCGACTTCTTGGCATAGCTGCCGGTCACGTTGCACAACAGTGTTTGAAGGGAACTCCGCTGTTACGGGAGGTGGGGTGGGGCGTAGCGAGAGGAGAGGCACCATGCAGAAAGAAATGAGAATAAACTAACATATTCTGAAGGTGGCTCTAAAAAGGTGCTCAGCTATGTTTGATGCTTTAGACCGCTATGCAAAAAACATTTGTAATTAAAGAAAATCAAGTGATGAAACACAGAGGACCGGCTGCTTCATGACTACTCAGTGCAGGACCTAAATGCACGAATTTAGCACATAGTGCCCGCAACTCTGAGCCTTTGCCACCGGGGCCCCGTTCAGCGGCCAGCTTTGCCCTCAGTTCCTGCCTCATTCCTGCTCCCTGCCACCCCCAGCTCCCAGACGTGGATCCTGAGAAGGGAGACCTGGCCGGCCAGTGCAGCACCCAGTCCCCAGATGCAAAGCCCACCACAATCCGACAGGTGTCCTGGCCTTCCTCTACTTTGAAGCATTTCGGCAACTTTTATGGAGGATAACAGGAGCATTTGGCGGGCACATGTGGGGGGGGGGGGCTGGGCGGGGATTAGCGGGTGCATAAACAGCCACGCTGGCCCATTTCCGAAGCCACGCATTGACTGGCAGCTCAATGTTTTCAGGGCCTGGGTGTGAAACCCAATACAGCATACAGCAATGTTATTTAGACAATACCAATAAAAGATGGTGAACAGCGCCCCTGCTGGTGAGGAGTGGTCAGAACCAGAGGGGCGATGGCTTCCGTTTGTCCGGAAAGTTTGACTTTCATTTCTTCCCCGTTTTTAATATGCATGAGGAAGGGACAACTAAATAAATAAATAAAGAACACGAAAGTTCCCCCAGCTGAAGCAGGCCGACGCAGATGGCAGACGGTGCCCTTGAACGCGACGCGGCCGGCATCTAAACGGGCCCGCGAGATCAGAGGCGAGCAAGCGGATCATCAAACACGCAGAGCCGCCGCTGCGGAAAGAGCCGCCAGGCAACCTGACACCACCTGACAGCCGTAATTTGGGGGATTTTCTCCAGAGCGTCAGGCCAACGAAAATAACTCTCAAAATACGTGGAATATTGAGGGCATTCGCCACAAGGGAAAAAAGAAACAAAATATGATAATTTCTGTTGGCTTTACGTATGGGGCGAAAAAAAAGCCGATGTCTAGTTTTACACAGTGTCAGAGCAATCCAGGCAGTACAGAACACGAAGGGACAAAACGTAAAATTACAGATAGTTATTAAAAAAGTAAATCCCTAACCCAGTATCTGGGGAAAAAAAAAAAACCTGTCAGGAAATGTGTAAATGTTTTTAAACGTTCAGCAGCTGTAGACTTCAGACATGCATCCGATTTAATTTGCACGGCCCTTTGAAATGATGTCGGGAATGGGGGGGGGGATGGATTAAAAACACAAAAACAAAAAATGAAAACAGTGATAAAACCATTAGATAAAAAAAAAAAAATTCAAGCCCAGACTTCAACATTCATCCGAGCAAATCCGGAATAGTGTTTCCTTTGCAGAGAACTTTCCAGAACACTGCATGCACAATTGATTAGGTTTTCAAATCATCAACAGGCGACAAACAAAGAAAACAAACGAAACGAAAAATGAGCACCATGATGATGAGGAGGAGGAGGAGGAGGAGGAGGGCCCACCTTGGATCCCTTTGGCATGGCCGTCTCGTCAACCAGCAGGTACAGGATGTTGAGGGCGACCAGGAGTACGGAGATGGCCTGCAGAAAGGGATGGGCAGGACAGGCAGCTTTTCAGGCTGTATCACACTGCAGGATTTCTTGTTTAGCCAGATAACTTGTCAGACTGAAGGTAGTCTAGGCTAGAGGGCGGCACAGGAACGGGGAAAGTGGTAATACTGCAGATAAAAATATTTCCACAGTAACAGCGGGAATGGAGATGATCTTCATGGAATTCCCACAGGGATGGTAATAAAATGTATGGTAACACCACGGTAATGGTAATGAAATTGCTTGTATATGCATATGTATTCTTATAGGCCTATCTGGTATATTAATTCTAAGTCCATTTGTTCTGTTACATTATTTATTCTCACCCCAACAGCAACTGAAGGCAGCGCAGCCTGAGCTATACAGGGCTGCTGAAGAACAATTTGTCTAAATACTCAAGAAATGGCTACTATGCATAGAACTCTCAAACGCGGAAGACACGTGAGCAAAGTTTCCCAAGCTATTTTCTTTTTCAGAATAAAAGTGTTTGGATAATTTGGTCTGAGCAATGCAAAATAAATTTGTTTGTGGAAAAAGTGCCAAGTGAATAATTTAATAATGAAGATTTTTAAAGGCAAAGATATTTATTGTTTTACTGTGCTGTTTGGTGTGTTGGTGAATGCCGGACAGGGTGGGGATGGTTTAGATTTTAACGATGGTACAAAGGTAAAGTCCATTTAAACTGGGGTACCATAAATCTGACAACTTATCTGGCTAAGCAAGAAATCCAGCTTCATGATGCTGGCCCCAAGAGAGAGCAATAGTCAGTACATTTACATGCATACTAAGAAAATCAAAATTATTGTGTTAGTCCAACAAAACTGGACTTTTAAAGTACATATAAACATGTTAGTCCAATTGAGATTGTACTAAATCGAATTTCTTGAAGTCGGACTAAGACACCCAGATAATTGGGAGTCGATTTACTCCTGCATATATTCATTCAACCAGACTCAAACTGGCCTAGGTGCTTTGGGGATGTTCCACAGTCTTCCCCCCCCCGGCTTTGACCCGGAAGTACCAGAATAGGCTGGTATACAGAAGCAGCATGGAGCATAGCAGAGGTTACGGTGGTGACGTCTGCCTTCGGATAACACCATAGCCAGAAGCGATAGCATGCAACCAAATGTACAGCGCTATAAAGCTGCCCAATTCACCGCTCAACTAAAGGGCGCTTTTCCACCGCAACAGGTACCGTACTTTTGGTACTTCAAGCTATAACCGTAGCTATACTTAGCTGTGCGTGTAAACATACTCAATGATAAGTCTCATAGCATTGTCATTTATTTATGAATCACTGTCATAAACCTCAGTACCTTGTTCTCCTACTTGTATGCCATTGTAGAATTTAGAATTTAGAGATCAGTGGTCATTGTCAACACACCACAGCACACAGTGCGCAACAACGAAATCTGAGAAGCGATGTATGTTGTATGTATATAGTATATTGAATGTAAGAAAAAGCCTGATTTTAATATAGCTGACTAGCGACGTAAGAATTGCATGTGCATAACATGTTGCTAATTAACAAAAGTACGGTACCTAGTGCGGTGGAAAAAGCACCCTAAAAGTCACAGAAAGATTGGTTTTGATCCAGATTAACAGAAAATCCCACCCAGCTCCCATCACACCCAAACCTGAGTCAAAAACGAGTGAATCAATCAAGAACCAACCAAACTATCAAAAATAATTGTTTGGTACAGGTGTGCTGGGACCTGGGAGGGGGACTGTCTGGGGGTCCCCGAGGGCAATGTTCAGAAACAGGGGCTCATAACAACCACGCACCCCCCCAAAAGTTACATGGGGTTTCAGACAGTTCACTCTGGCACTAGAATTGAGCTCTGCTACCTGAAAAATTACAAGCCGCGAGTCACCCAGGATACAGGAACCTACTAAGTAAGAAATAATATTATAAAGTGAAAGAGAATTAGAGACTCGCGCAGGTAGCTGGTAATTACAAGCACGTAGCAGCGGATGAAACATGAGGGGTAAAGCCAGACGGTGAGCAGCTCCTCTTGGGAACAGGGATGCCGTGGCTCCCTAGTACCAAGACACGGCAGCTGGGGCTCGGACACGTTCCGTGAAATGTGGGGGTGGGGGGTCTGCCGTCACAACCCCCCCTTCCGAGGCGGGGCGAGCAGCTCGCATCTTCACTTACAGTTCCAGTCAGGAGTATTAGCATGACAAAGGGGTAGAGCAGATTCCTCTCCCACGCTGACGCTTTCTTCCTCCTCTCTGCAGGGAAAAACAACGACAAAAAAAAAAAACACGATACGGCGAAATCAGTATTGCTGTGCCGACACAGCTTGACCAATGGGATTAGAGGAGAAGACGGAGGTCAGACTGCGCACAGGGTCACGGCTGGGGCTTGGCAGGGAAATGACACTGAGACAGGGCACGTCACAGAAGATCTTGTAAACGTCCCAGCAGATACGTAAGGGGGGACTCACCCCCCCCCCCCCACCGCCCCATCCCAACAACACGGTGTATGTATCAACATGATGTTCTCAGAGCTTGCCCCAGAGGTAGGCATTACTGATTGCACAAGTGCCATAAATTAAGCATATTGTCTTTAATTATCTCTCCTTTTGGGGTTATAAGGCAATAAGATTAAATAAAGTGCTGAAAAAATAAACTGATTTATGCGTGCTTTAACATGGAGGATTGGGGGGGGGGGTGGCTGGCCTTCAGTAATTACCTCACTAATAACTCCCCCCATAACAGCAGCAGAATCAGTCATGAGCCAAGTTTACCTGTGCTCATTCTCAAGGAACCATTTAATGTTCCTTATCAGATCCGGGACAAAATACAAACACGAGGATCAGACACAAGACTATTAAAATGTAACTCAGAGTGGGAGCGCACCACCGGCGGGCTAACAGGAGGGGGCGCAGCGTCGGCGGGCTAACAGGAGGGGGCGCAGCGTCGGCGGGCTATCACGGGGATACAGCCGTCCCTCACTGGGGAATTGGTTCCAGGACCCGCAGTTGATATCAGAATCCATGGATGCTCTAGTCCCTTGTACAAAATATACACTCACCTAAAGGACTATTAGGAACACCATACTAATACGGTGTTTGACCCCCTTTCGCCTTCAGAACTGCCTTAATTCTACGTGGCATTCATTCAACAAGGTGCTGAAAGCATTCTTTAGAAATGTTGGCCCATATTGATAGGATAGCATCTTGCAGTTGGAGATTTGTGGGATGCACATCCAGGGCACGAAGCTCCCGTTCCACCACATCCCAAAGATGCTCTATTGGGTTGAGATCTGGTGACTGTGGGGGCCATTGTAGTACAGTGAACTCATTGTCATGTTCAAGAAACCAATTTGAAATGATTCGAG